TCCTATTCAATAAATGAGGATAAATATAAATGTTAACTATTACTAGCAGTAATCTTAACCTAATCGTTTCTTATCCTTTGAGTATTAAGACCTCTTTGAAAGTCATGAACACATAAGATGGTAAAGTACTTATTAGTATCTTTTGATTAAAGAAAGAACAAGCAAAAATTACTATGAATTTAGGAGTATTTCTAAATAAATGTTTACTTTATCATCTTACAGAGCTGGAAAAGGCTATGCTTTAAACTCTTTGAAAGGGAGAAAAAAGATTCCTTTCTTTCCAGGGATGAGCCCCGGCCTCAGGCAGTTCTGAAGAGTGAAGTTGTAACATCCCTCTCTGTCTCCTGAGGATCCCTCTTTTCACCCCTCCTAGCTGTCTAAGACCTCTCCCTAGGGCGGCTACCCAACCCCAGAAAAGGTGCCCTGCAACCCAGACTTAACTACCAGCTCTCTTCACAATAAAATCCTCCATTTCATCAGTGTAAGTTATTTCAGAGACTATGCAAAAACACAATTACTGGCAGTCCCTGGGTTACGAAGATCCATTCCTGAGAATGTCTTTTAATTTGATTTATCCCCAAAATACAGATGGCACAAAAGCAAAAGATAAGAATGATTACTTCTATTAAAAAGTGGGACCACTGAGGCATGAAGAAGACAAGTGACTTCCTTAAGGTAACAGAGTAGCACCAAAGTCCCATAGGAAGGTCTTTTGTGTCTAGGTGGTCTGCAATGAGAATCCAGGTAACTCTGGAGTAATTGAGAAAACACAGTATATGCTGATGCCTCACTCTTTTTTTTTAAAAGTAGATACCTGTTTTCACAGGGTATTGAAAGCATTACCAACACAGACCAACGGCCCATAAGTGCAATTCTTTTACACTTCCTCAATGTGATAATTATCTGTTTACTGCTTCTCCCTCAACAGACTGCCCTCTAAAGGTCAGGGACCCACCTCTACAGCTCAGCATGTTGTTGTTGGGTGCCGCCAGTGGATTCCTACTTACAATGACCCTATAGGATAGAGCAGCACTGCCCCACAGGGTTTCCTAGGCTACAATCTTCATGGGGAGCAAATCGGGAAGTCTTTCTCCCATAGAGCCACTGGCGGGTTCAAACCACTGCCCTTTATGTTAGCAGCCTAATGCTTAACCACTGTACCACCAGGGCTCAGCACAGGGCCTGGTATTAACCAAAAATACCAAAACCCACTGCGTTCGAGTCAATTCTGACTCATAGCGACCCTACAGGACAGAGGAGAACTGCCCCATAAGGTTTCCAAGTCTGTAATCTTTACAGAAACAGACTGCCACACCTTTCTCCAGTGAAGCAGCTGGTGGCTTCAAACCGACGACCTTTCAGTTAGCAGCCAAGTGCTTTTAACCACTGCACCACTATATGGTTAATAAATGCTGAAAAATGGAAACAAATACTGCTCTCAATGACTGTAAGATATATTCCCCCCCAGGCTTCGCTTCTTTTCCTCCTGTCTCTAAGAACCCTTATGAGCCTTACCAACAAATAAAATAGGTGACAGGCATCTAAAGTTTCTTCATTAATCAATATCTCATTTGCAAAGCTGCTTTGAGATTCCACAGGCCATTTAAAATAAAGTTTTATGTACACACATTTTCCAGGATATATTCCACTTATTTAGACCAACACATAAAGTTCCCCAGAGACACGCAAACACTTTCGTTACTAATGAAGCAGCTCAAGGACTAAGTTTACTATCCTCAATAAAATTCCCGTAGAACAGTGTCTGGGAAACTGATCTGTTATTAAACAAACTGGGGCACCCCCGAAGAAAACTGAGTGAAATTTTAACAATGAGAAGACCTAATTCAAAATTATATGCACATATATAACTTTCTAAGTTCATAAGAGTTTTCAAAAACATTTGCAAGGATACGCTATCCCTCTTGACTCACAATCTTGGTCCACTTCATATAGCTGGAAATGATGACTACTTTAGGCTGGAAGAATCCATGCAATTTTGTTCCTCCCTTGTTTTCAGTCAGAGGTTAAAGGTACCAGTCCAGACTCTGCCACTAGGTGGACCATAACCTTCACTTCCCTGTGTCCACCTGGTTTCTTCAGGTACAAAAGGAAGGGTTTGTCTGGGGTGAATTCTAACATCCATTTCAACGTTAAGCACCCTCTCAACCCCGGTAGAGAACATCAGCATAGTTATATTCAGTTTTTCATTAATCTTAAAGTCACTCACTTGGAAAGAGAAAGAACTGTCAAGTTTAACTGAGGCTAGCATTGGGCTGCATAAAGAGGTTCTCTCAAAGAATTTATTTCCGTCATGTACTATGCTACAAATCTCTCCAAACTGTCAGAGCTGATAGTCAGGATCTACCATAATGATGAACAAGGAAAGGCACAAGCCATTAAATGATATTTGATATTTGTCTGCAAGATGACTACTGAGATCTTTAAAAAGAGAAAAGTGAGCCTACAAACACAGTATGATGGGGGATGGGAGAAGGGCGTTCCTGCCTGTTTTCCTCCAGGGCCACTTTTAGGTTCCAGGCCAATTCCTTGTTCTGTTATCTTTTCCTGCTCTCACCATCTACTTTTCCTTACAGATTATTCCAGAATAACCTAAAAATACCCCATGCAAAAGGCAAATATAGTTTCCTTCAAGAGGAAAAGGGCATCTTTCCCACACAAATGTCCCCAGTTAATTTTCAAATGCCAGAATCAATGGTCCGTTTAACTCTTTAGTTACTACTGGTTTAATGGTATACCAGCCACTTTTTATGCCTCTGGACTTCAGAAGTAGTACATTACTCCAGTTCTAATGCATTTAGCATCAAGGTGGGTCTCTTTTGAAATGCATGGACCTCAGCAGACCAGAGTTGGAGACTCATGGTTGTGTGGATTCAGCATTCTACTAGGTGATGCTTCCTGGATGTGTTAGTTTGGTAAACTTTTGCCTTTTTTAAAATTTATTTCTGTGAGATAAGACTTGCAAGCATAATTACAGCATTTCTGTGTGACAGTTAGGGAGCCCTGATAGGTTTGTTTTGATTTTTCTGTGTCGTATTTGGAAAACCAGAGGTTCCTCATGTAACCTAATGGGAAGGTGCCTGCAATAAATTCTCTATTTAGTTCTTATTGGTATATTGTCATACCACAGATCAGTGGCACCACAGTGCCACTCGCCTTACTGGTGGCTTGTATTACCAGATCATAGTTCTCAAAATCCATATTAACCAAACCCCAAACTCGCTGCTGTTGAGTCAATTCCTACTCATACCGACCCTATAGGACAGAGTAGAGCTACCCCATAGGGTTTCCAAGGAGCAGCTGGTGGATTCAAACTGCTGACCTTTTGGTCACCAGGGAGCCAAAATCTGTATTACCCACCAAAAATTTAAACAGATTCTATTAGTGAGCATGCATTCCAATACTGAAAACACATACCATCAAAAAATTTTTTTCAAAATTTGGTAACAAAAGGGTTTTAAAACATAGCCTTCAGGGACAAGGACTAGAAGGCAGATGAGGACAGGAAAGCTGGTAATAGGGAACCCAAGGTTGAGAAAGGACAGTGTTGACATATGGGGTTATTAACCATTGTCATAGAGCAATATGTGTACTAACTGTTCAGTGAGAAATTATTTTGTTCTGTAAACATTGATCTAAAGTACAAAAAAAAAAAACATAGTCTTCATGGTGTCTAATTCAAACACTAAGGTTACAAAGTATAAGCTGGACTTGTCACAGATTCAGTGTCCCACTCTAAATGAGGTCTAAGCAGCAACTACTACGGCAGCTTCTGATGCCATTAGTTGTAATGGTAATATTTTGGCTACCATCCTGGATGGATTTCTCCTGTGACTGAGGCTGCTGACAGGAAGATCGTAGATATGAGAGCATGCTGATATTTGGGAACCTACCTAAAAGACTCATCTGCTGATTTTTCTGCTATAAAATTGGCAATCCTAAGTCACAACCAAATAGCCCTGGTGGCAGAAAAGCAAGCAGAGGAGGTAACAGAAGCCAGAAATGACAGCAAATTTACTTCAAATGCTGCTCTCCGAGGACTCCATAAAATCTAAACAATATTAAGAGTTCATTAAGGTCACTAAAGAGAAAATTTCTAACAAGAAAAGGCACATTTAAGCCTCACTAACCAACAAACTGCCTCAAGAGGCTGCTTAAAAAGATAAGCCTGGCAGGCCAAAGTAACTTTTCAATTAGTGAGACTTCTCAGGCACAAGATATCAAATAATTGTCAACAATATCCAAGCTCAAATGAATGCCAAGTTCTTTCTAGACTCCAACGAACTTGATAGAAGTAAACAAATGGTATCGCTGTTTAAGCTCCTAAAGATTACCACAGAAAGTTTTCTGTGTACTGAATGAACACTAAAGTACTCCCTTTCTATACCGGTAACTCCTAGAACTGTTACAAATAGGTACTACAAAACAGATATCCAAAGACTGCTGCAATTGTTATTCTGAAATTTTCTCAATAAATTTTCTCACGTCGTTCTCATTTGTGTGCTGGAGGAGTAAATATGATGATGATGGTCTTACTTTCATTTTCGACCAAATGCCTGTAAGCATAAGTTCAATTTCTCATCTAAAAGGCAAGAAAACTGATT